TACATTTATTCTGATATTTTTCCAAACTCAGTAATATTAATTTAACACGTTTTAGTTTACATTTTGTTTATTAGATGTTTTGAGATGTAAACCAGGTCTGAACCAGGTCTAAACCAGAACTAAACCACGTGAAAACCAGAAATAAATCAGGTCAAAACCAGAGCTAAAGTAGGTCTAAACCAGGTCTAAACCAAGTCTAAACCAGGACTAAAATAGGACTAAAACAGGACTAAACTAGAACTAAACCACGTGAAAACCAGAATTAAATCAGGTCAAAACCAGGGCTAAACCAGGACTAAAGTAGGTCTAAAACAGGTCTAAAACAGGACTAAAGTAGGTCTAAAACAGGTCTAAAACAGGACTACACCAGGTCTAAACCAGAACTAAACCAGGTCAAAACCAGGATTAAACCAGGTCTAAAAACAGGTCTAAAACAGGACTAAAGTAGGTCTGAAATAAACCAGGACTAAACCAGGTCTAAACCAGGACTAAAACAGGACTAAAGTAGGTCTGAAACAGTACTAAACCAGGTCAAAACCAAGACTAAACCAGGCCTAAACCAGGATTAAACCAGGTCAAAACCAGGACTAAACCAGGACTAAAACAGGACTAAAGTAGGTCTAAACCAGAACTAAACCAGGTCAAAACCAGAACTAAACCAGGTCTAAAAACAGCAAAATGGAGGCTTGAAAATGAGCGACGAGAGAAAGAAACAACTATAACCAACGGCGTAGGTTTGCACATTTTGTTTATTAGACGTTCTGAGATATGACGACAGGGTTACACCTGCCGCTGCAACAGAGTGATGTCATTAGTGGAGCCAGGAGCCTAAACTGGGGAAGCGACAGGACAGGGCCGCACCTGAAGATATCGTCTTGAGCAGCGTGAGTGAAAACGCTGCACCAAACTTTAAAAAACTTTTCAAAAGGAACTTACTCGGCTTCATCTTCAATTAAACTCGTCTTATAATGAGTCGCCGCGGAAAAAAAGCGACTACAGTGCACCTCTCAAACAAACGGAGCCCTACTCGTGCCGGACTCTACTGAAAATATTCCGTGGAAAAATGTACGGACATGACCTCACAAATATCTCACCACCGACAAGCAAAGAGAAATCTCCTACAAACTTCTACATCGCTGTTATCTGCTAAAGAATCATCTTAGAAGGACAATGGACACAAACTGAAAAATAAAACCACCTCTCACTTATTCTGGACCTGCCCAGACTCTGTGTGTTTTTGGAAAGAATTCATAAAACGCACAGTCTGGGCAGGTCCAGGTCCTTGACATGTTGACAAGTTTTGCTTTAATAAGAGCTGTTCTGTAAGTTGGTTGACATAAAGATATTATAGCGACAGAAAAGAATGACTCAGTTTTAATAGGTCAGACTTCATTTCCAAGAAAGTAAAACGATATATCTACAGTACGTACTTTTGTACAGATTTACTGATTCCTGATTCGCTGGGTTCGTGACATCGGTCATGTGACGCTATTGCGGAAAACATTTTAAACAAACCAGAGACAAACAGGAAACAGCAGAGCTAGAACTACTTGCACAGAACAGACTCACCATCAGCAGAACACCCCTCTGTCACAGAAAGAACACAAATAATCCACTGAGTCGTGTTCTTTTGAAGTACGACAGAAGCTGAACAATCCGTGTAATGTTCATTCATTCGTTTTTCAATATAAAACCAAAAATAAGAAAACGAAAAAACAACAGTTTTCTTCATTATTTGTCTCCAAAACCAAAATAAAAAAAACGGATAACGATTCGTTTTTTTTCGATTTTGTGTTTAAATGAAGAATGGAAAAAAACGGATAACGACTGTTTCCTGTTTACGTGACTTCTGTGACTGTGATGCTGAACTTTTGCACCGCATACGGACTGAACCAGGACTGATCCAGGTCCAAGTCCAGACCGGGACCAGCGTGGCACTGAGACCAGGACCAGAGCGGGACTGAGACCGAGACCAGAGGTCCGAGCGGTTCCGTGTCATCGTCTGCGAGCTGGTTCCGTGTGGGGAAAACAAGAATGCACTGTGGACTACAGGTCCGGACGGGCTGCTCCAGTCCTCCGTGCTCAAGAACCGCGGCTGGTTCCGAGGCAGTGCAAAGCATCCGACTGACGCTTTCACACCAACGAAAACGAACCGAACTAAGAGCTTTTGGTTCAAATGGACCAGGTCCGGGACCAGACCGGGACCAGAGCGGGACCAGAGCGCTACTGAGACTGGGACCAGACCGGGACCAGAGCGCTACTGAGACTGGGACCAGACCGGGACCAGAGCGCTACTGAGACTGGGACCAGACCGGACCAGAGCGCTACTGAGACTGAGACTGGGACCGACCGAGCACCAAAGATCTGTGACATGAGTGTCATATGAACCATCTCGCACTCTGAGGACTCAGGGACCGGCCTCCTGCTGGTGCCCAGAGTCAGAACTAAACAAGGGGAGTCAGAGTTTCAGGTTCATGCAGCTAAAACCTGGAACAGTCTG